TGAAAAAGCTTATTATTAAAAGCTCTTGTGGCTTCTCTTAGGCTTCCTCGCCACATCTATTTTTATCATCATGATTAACTGCACCAATAGTTTCATTGACAGGGGTAAAAGATAGTCTTGCACTTGAACGTAAAATTGAAATGTTGGTCTCGCGTAATAAATGTTGAGGAGACAGTTTAAAAATACTTTATTATCATTTACGAGCTATCGAACATACGCTCACGAAATAGGCTGTAATATTATTGTTTCGCCGAACCTAAAAGGCACTGAAAATGAAAAAGAGTTCAACTCGCAAAGCAACACTTTAGTGCATAAATTATCGATGAATTTAAAATGAAACCGATTGAGTGTGATGTGCTGAAGCTGTGTGGCTGGGTGACCTTTTGAATTAAAAAAAAAAAGGTGAAAGGGACAAGTAGTGAGTATTCGTAACGTCGTATCCTCTTACTAAATCTCTTGTTTCAATCAATGGATGATGAATGCCTTCACATACCTCTGACTTTACGTCGGTCAAGCAAGAAGTGGTAGCAACATAAACTCTTGAGAGTTTCGATGTAGGTGTCAATGCAAGTATGTGTGATGTTTTCTTGAATGGTCCATTTTTGGTTCAAATGCAAGAGCTGATACCCACCAAGCTGTATGGAAATCAATGTGTCCGGTCCAAGGGAAAGGCAACTGCATTTAGTTGGAAGACTCCCTATGATTATAATGAGTAGTGTCACTCTCTCGTACGACTGGGCCAGCAAGACAACTTGGAGCCAACCAGTTAAGTGCTTCAAACATTTCTTTAGCTTTGGACCTTGCCCGGTGTCTAAGGTTTCCCAGCCCCAGGCACTGAGAGCCTCTGACACATAAATAACACTGCTTATAAGCATCATGAGTATGCCAGGCTTATAATTTGAATATATCAACAAATACTTTACACTTAGTACCACGGAAAGCCGGAAAACTCTTGAACAAAAGCTCATCTTTCAAACCGGCAGTCTAAATCCCACAGATATCAACGAACGCTTTTCATTCCACTAATTTATTCGTGTTTTTCTCGTTGCCATGTTCCCACCAATCACGTAGCTCCATTTTCTGCCTTAAAAGCACACACAACCCACAATTCCTCTATTCACTCCGACGAAGGGCTAACGCTCGAAACGTCAGCTTTTGTAATCGTTACGCTGGCAAATTTACCATTTCAACTTTGTTGGTATATCCAAATTATTTCTTAATAGGTAGTCCAATCCTCACTCTCTTTCTGTCTGCAGGCATAAAGAAATTTACGAAAGCTTGATAGGTCAAGGATTATACTCAGAAAGATCGGGGAGGGCGCAATCCTTAGGCGTCTTTTTAAAATATCAAATATTGATAACATCCTCAAAAGGCAAATTTATGTTTTTACTCAAAGCCAGTCTTCTTAATGCCGGGTTCAAGAGTGAATATGTTTTCACTGGCGAATCTTATGCCTTCTGATGAAAAGAAAAGTTCGGGCTGTTTTGCTTCCCCTTTCGTTAAACTACTATAAGAGAGTTTTTTAGCTCTGTCCAAGCCCTTACTTTCGATTTTCGCTTCAAACATAGGAATAATTTAGAATAGAAGGAGTTTGATCGGATTTTTTTGTGAAACTATTTTTAGACGGCAAATTGAAAAAGCTTATTATTAAAAGCTCTTGTGGCTTCTCTTAGGCTTCCTCGCCACATCTATTTTTATCATCATGATTAACTGCACCAATAGTTTCATTGACAGGGGTAAAAGATAGTCTTGCACTTGAACTTAAAATTGAAATGTTGGTCTCGCGTAATAAATGTTGAGGAGACAGTTTAAAAATACTTTATTATCATTTACGAGCTATCGAACATACGCTCACGAAATAGGCTGTAATATTATTGTTTCGCCGAACCTAAAAGGCACTGAAAATGAAAAAGAGTTCAACTCGCAAAGCAACACTTTAGTGGATAAATTATCGATGAATTTAAAGTGAAACCGATTGAGTGTGATGTGCTGAGGCTGTGTGGCTGGGTGACCTTTTGAATTAAAAAAAAAGGTGAAAGGGACAAGTAGAGTTGAGATCTACATTCATAGCCCACTTAACTCCTTCCAAGCACTACCAAAGGTAGTCAGATTAATGTAAATCAACGCGGAGTCGCCTGCCCAAGACACCCTGGCAGATTGGTTATGTACATGAGGAAGGCAATAAAGCACTTCTGCGTAATTTCTATTTGTTCCTCAATAATGGTCGGGTATCAACAGATTTCTCAAAAATGCCAGCATTTCCTGATCTTGAAGCAACTACTTTTCTCAATCAAGCCTCTTTCCCAAAGGATCCAATTCTCGTACGCGCGGATTTAAATTGGTGTTTCTTGACACTATAAGCCTCTCTAAATATGTCAATGAAACTGGTCAAGCTCGAGATTCCTATATTACATTTTATACGGCAATGAAATCGAGGGGGGGGGAATAAGTATTTCTTTTTAAAATTAACTAGATTAAATGGTTTGGTTTTATTTGCGTTTAATCAAAAAAAATTAAATAGCAAACAGACGATTTTTGCAACCGTTTCTTAACTTACAGTACTGGATTCTAACATTTACCCCAGTTTACTCTGCGTAGATTTGTTGACGAAATCTAATCACAAAGCTTCCATGTATTTCAGTCAAATCTCAATCAAGTTTGTTCTTACAGTACTTATCAACATAGGTACTGAGCATCACTTCAACGTGTCCTCTCAAAGGTTTTGTTGCATGTGCATGCATATATATATTTTCATCTATATCGCGTGACAACGCTCTATCTTAAGAATAACGTATACTTTACGTCAGCTATCCTGTTTTTATAAAGGTCGTTTATCTTCAGTATTTGTAATAGTTACTGCTTTGTAATTCCAAACTACAAAACTACAAAAACAACGAAATCAAAGTTATTTACGATACCAAGCCACAAACTGCCATAAAATCACTGGCGAGAATATTCTGACTTAAATGTTCGATACTTTTTCATTGCACACAAGTAAGTGTAGATGATCTTTAGCCTAGTAAATGTAAGGATTTGCTACACTTTCGACTGACGTTATACGAAAAGGAGTAAACTTGATTCAGCTATGATTAAGGCTCAATAAACGTATAAATCCTCGCATGCCTCAATTCAGCGACGATAGCCGTCCTGCTTGCGAGTATATTGCAATGGACGAAGACACAAATAGCGCCAAAAACAACCAGAAAAACATTCGGTCGAGCGCACGAGCGATCTCCCTCCACATTTTCTGGTTAGCTTCTTCTTCGTCTTCGACGTGAATGATAGACATTCCACTCGTTGTTGAGTTCCTTACCCGACTGAGTGTGTCTGGTATCTGCTTCTTCACATCTTCTAACTCCAGATTATCATTTCTCTCCCCCTTGTTCGTGTTATTTTCTGCTGTGATTCTAGAATTTATAATTACGGGAGAACGGGGAACCTCTCTTCGTCGTGGTTTTTGAGTGCTGCGGAAGCAACCGAGCCTGTTGATTGCTGAAAAATCAAGACATGGTTTAGCCAAACGGCATTCTTCATATTCAATATATCAGACTCATAGATTTATGGTCGTATCGATTTTGCTTTCAAGTTCACAGCTTCCCGCAGCCACGGTTATCACACGATTGATGTCACAACTACCGTTATTGTCGTACTGCAGCAGCCATTGGCAAAATTAAATTTTCAGTAATTATGTCATAGCTATCACTATTGTCGAATGGCCTTTTTGTCTCAAGATTTTCGTTGCTATTGTCACTCAAGTGGGCATTCGTTTATAAACTGGCTCTTAATTGTGATAGAGTTGATTATTTCAGGTCCCCACTGAAGAACACCTTTTGGTGACGTCCATGGGCTCCCTGCTAAAATATTGTCATTATCCTACTTTTCTCACCTGTAATACAAGTCAAGATGCGGGGTGGTTCTGAAGTCGCGTGGTGAACCCTCAGAACGAGAACTGTGGCGGCTAGCGCCAGGCCGATTTCAAACATGATCGTAATGTAATAAACACCAATGAGGGGCAGTGTATCAGACTGTTCCGGAAGCTGATCAGTAACGACAAGTAGGTAAACGCTAACTGCCAGCAAAATCGTTGCACACAATCCAATCCTCTCACCACTCTCCACGGGGATAAAGAAGCTTACAAGAACCAGCATGCCAATGATCATGCATGGGACGATGGAGAAAAGAACAAAGAACAAGGGTTTGCGACCAATAGAAAATGAAACTTTAACCTCGCTGAATATCCGGAAGTGCTTCGTAATATCCTCTGTCTTGACCTCAATGCTCCTCAGTGACCAATAACCGTTTGATGTGGTGAGTCTAAGCTCTGAAAGAAGTAACATGGATGGATCCAGTATCACTGAGAGTGACCCCAACCAACATTATTGAACGTCATCTAAGAATAACGGGATGCAAAAGGCTTTCCCTTCAGGGGCAAGTTGAAAGGTGATCCATCATGAGGATCATTATGCTATGAAAACGTCAAGTTGTTACCACGTCAACTTCGCGCCCTTAAGACGGCCCTAGTGCTTTGGAGTAATAATACAAAATGAGTGGCCAAAAATTTTCCCTTATCAAACTCATAATGCGTCGATCAATTGGAAGCTTCAAAATCTCCTCCGGGAACCCCCTTCGCCACTGCGGGCTTTAGACTTTTGAAAATTGGTTTGTTCAAATTACTGCCCTCTCCCAAGGCCAAAAATTGCATTCAAAGGCCCCCGCTCATGCGCAATTCTGTTATTTAACGTTTCTTTGTATGATCAAAGAATATTGTGGAATTTGGCAGAGTCATGTATTGGCTTTTGGTGCCTCTGTTGGATTTTTCCCTCGTAAGCATCATTTTACGATGAGTAAATGTTTCTTCCAGGCCGTTTGCTCGCGGAATGAGACTCCTTAACTTTAAACTCCTCCATGTTTAAACTTACATCACATGGATTCCGCTGGTTCATATTCGCTACCCTACCTAGGCAAGGTTCAAAATCTCCACCCTTCGGGCAAGGACGACGGTCGAATGCCCGTAGGTTGCCCGGAGGGGATTTTGAAGCTCCGAATTGATCGGTGCATAAATAGCATGGAAAAGGCTGAGGCATTAGCATTAGTATTAGTATTAGGTTTGATCCTTTGCCGATGAGTGTCTCAAGAGGGTTGTAAAGAGCATCGGTCTCAGCCTCCCTCCTTTCCAGTCTCGTAGATAATACCCGGTGACTTCGCTGGAAATTACTGACCTCTCTAATTTGTTTCCCCTTTTCAGCCCGTTGCACGAATAGTTGAATGTACTCTTACCTTCATCTGGATCATCACTGTCAATTTCTTTGGTGTAAATATTTAAAAGAGTGCGATCAGCCGTTAGTGAACGAAACAACATGTTGCACTCCTGTTTGTCAAAGGGAAAGAACTGGACATTTAGTTTGCAGGTGCTTTTAAACGTCGCTGGAGATAACCACAAGTTATTTCCACCACTGTTCAAGACCACCCAACTACGGAACTTTTCCAAGTGGCCTGCCTGAACGACTTCATCATCGGCGCTGGAAATAAGAAGAAAGAGAATGTTTGAGGATTAAGAAAACCATTTAAGCCTAAACTCGCATGGAAAGGTACTCTATCTTAGCCAAGAAACGAAAGTCCCATACATAAAAGGTGCTTAAAATTAAAATAACAAGACAGAACATAACAAGCAAACGAAACAAGGGGAAAGCACTGTAACACTGAAAAAACGATTAATCCATATACTGATAGAACACATGGCTGACAGGATGTATCAAAATTCAAGCCATGTAACAAATAATATCAAATAAATTTTTGTCTGATAGGACCTGAGCCTCGCAGATAGTGGATTTTGATTATTATCGCGGGGATATAGTCAACGCCCTTAACCATACTGAATTTTTTTACTTTTATACAGTCCTTTTATTTAGAAAAGAGATAGATGTAGAAAAGTGCACATGTACATGTCAGGAAAAAGGACTGCAAAGAAACCTCATTTCACCTGATTTGAATTGTCGAACGAGAGAATTGTTTATCGCTTACTGTTTAGCCAGCTTACTATTAACCCAGCCGCAGGTAAACTAAATGCCATTCACATGTGGAAGAGTTCAACTCACTTGTTTTCAAGTACAATATCGGGAACCCATACTTCTTTTGGATCCACAAGGATCACCGTTATGTTGTCATACGTGGTAGGATCCCACCGAAGATAGGGATTATCCCATTTCTGCGAACCAGATTGGAAAAACTCATAAACCTGCGCTGCAGCTTGGCTTTAGTTACTACTTCTGTTAAATTTTGCTGTATAACTCATATTAGTATAATTTCAGAGCTGAGCAAAGAGTTTCCAGCAATCTGATTTGTCAAGCGGTTCCATATATGACGCTATATAAACCGCTCCACGCGGTTTATATAAAATGTTAAAATACAATGTTAGAAAATGTTACTAAAATGTTATGATTTTAGAAATTTCTCTGTTGTTCAGCTCTGAAATTCTACTAAAACAATTATTCGCCTCAGGTTCGGTGGATATTGTCGAATAATCCCCTCGACTTCGACTCGGGGATTATTCGACGATATTCACCTCGCCTTCGGCTAATAATTGTTAAATATCACCAACGTTTAATCTGAACAAGGGTATAAGGAGGTATGAGTGAATCATCAATGAGCGAAAGCAAAAGTTCATAAATTGACGATTCGAAAAATTTATTATAACATAACCAAAGTAAAGCGCGCGCTCTGATTGGTCAATTTAGCGTCCCCCATTTTCCCATGGGTGTACGCTGCTGACGTGAGCAAATGCAAAGACTATTTTTCTGCGCGCGCTTGTTTTTTCTAGTCACGTAAGATTTGTTAAATAAAAGGGAACTCTTTAGCTACAATATATCAATGTTATGTTATAAAACAAATGGTAAACACCACAGCGTACACTATTGAGTTATGGATGCACTTGGAAGGTTTGCTAAGCACTCAAGAAGCTACAGTCGCTCTCGGCTATCGCCTCGAGCGACTCTTACGCTTCTTTCGTGCTTAGCAACCTCCCGCGTACAGCCATAACTCAATAGCGTACGCTGTGGTGTTTACCATTTGTTAAATCTGAACTGACAAGAATACAAGGAGGTATGGGTAAATAGATGGAAGAATGACTTACATTGCCCGGCGTTGATCGCCAAATTCTTTTTGAAATGAAATAAAAGGAAAAGATTAAAAAATCCAAAACGTTTTTAAGAAAAGGATTTTTCTAGTACTTAAAGAGCCCGATTGTCATCATTCATTTGAAATCTAGTCCTTGGTCTTGCTCTGCGTTTTTGCACGAAGCAAAAGTACGTGTGAATTTTGTTAAACTCTTGATACTGAACTATATGTTGACCAATCTTACCTGTGTGATCACTGTGTCAACTGTAATGACTTGCTGTTTGTTGTCCTGCGTGACAAAAGTTCAGATGCAAAAGTTAAGGATATTTTAGGAGGGATTATGGTGGGAAATACACATACTTTGACTTCAAAAACATCCGAACAGACAGTCACCTTTCAATGTGTTTCCTTATTTCAAAGCTCACCGACAGAATTGAATCCTAATGATATCGGTCTTTGTGGTGGTCAGAGTAGTCTGCTCCCTCAGGAAACAAATTTTTTTTGTGGCATTAATTTTCATCGTTTGGGTTTTTATCAAGGCTTTATAAGAGAAAACATCGAATTTTAGAAATGCATTCTCAATGTATCTTTGAGCTTGGGAATGCAGCGATTTGGTTCACGGGGATGGTAGACTACTTAAGTGAAAGTAGATGTTTTGTGCCCACAATTCATCAACGTTGTATCGCACTTGTAATAACCGTCAAACTTTCTAATAAGTATGACAGTTTAAAATATTATGGAGTGCGACAAATTTTTTATTTTTTAGTGTGACGTGTTATTACAAAATTCAATAATTTTACTACGAAGTGCTGCAGGTATTACAAAGTGCGACGATTACGACGAAGTGCGACAGAACAGGCCCCTCGACCAGCTGGATTTATTTTCCTTTTTATCTTCGGAATAATTCACTAGCCATTTTTGGTTGATGTTGCTGCTTTTGTTTTTTTGTCTGTCTGTTTCATTTTTTTTTTTTTTGTCCCAGATGTAACTTACCCGTTAACACATAACATTAAGATGTTAACAGCTGCTGCAAATTGCTTAACATCATGAGATATCAGGTTAAGCTTCGCTTACCACTGCACTTAGAGCCTGGAACTGCACATCGAATGTGACATCGACAACATCTTTCGGCCTCAAAACCGGACGAATCATTTTGTCGTAGGAAGAAAGTAGAGCTTTTCGTAAGCGATACTCAGCTGACTGCATTATCTGGTGCTGTTCTTGTGCTAAAACAACTGGACCTGAGAAGAGATGCAAACAGCGGTTCAAGTGAGGTAATTCATAACTTTTTAGCTCACTCTAGTTCTAAGGCATCAAAAACCATTGGAGAAATAATCGTTGAGAGTCAAAAGTGATGTCAATTTCAGTGCGTTTCGTATGCTATGCTACGCTCTGTGTTTGTCTAAAAAAATCGCACCACCATCTGGTGTGAGTTTTCATTGTCTCCCTGACAGTATTTACGTCCTTTTTTTTTTCTTTTTAAATTAGCTAATTGGACTTGATTAGCTTTCGTGTTACAACACTCGATAATGAAGCGCTTTTTCAATCACAATTGGCACCAAACGATTAGGATCCAGAACTGCTTTCAATAGCTTGTAGTTAATAATTTGGCGATACCTTCCTTATAAAAAAATTCGGTATTTGAAAGATCATCTCGTGACCAATATTTTTTCTTGTCGACGATTGATTTCACTTACTAATGATCCAATAGGTAGTCGAGCCGCGTTGATTAGAGGCTTTTGAACTAATGAAATTCTCGTAGCCAATTGAACACCAAAAGCTTTAACGCCTTCGATTCCAAGAGGCACATGTATGTATTATTGATACTGTTGCTTAACGATGTAAGTGGATATATTTCTTTAACCTACCCTAAACCTTCAGTAGGTCTTCTCTTACATCTTCCCCAACAAAATCCCAAATTATAAAGTTAGTCGCGCTTATTTTACTAAACACTTGCACCTATGTTATCCTCGGAAAGCGAAAACAAATGACACCATAAGTTTGCCACTTCTCAAAGTCAATGGCACACTTCCGGAATAGTGTTTACCACAAGCACACAACTCAGCAACGAGCGAAACACGTAACAAAACTTGAATAAATTGAAAGTGGTCACTTCGTTAGCTGCACATTAGTTGTTATGGAATGAGCTGAGTTCATGATCATCGAAAACTCATCTGTCTCAAGTGGCTGTTTTCTTGTCCCAATCTAACTCGATACGGGGGCTAACAGTCATAGTAAAGTCATTGTGTTTAAAAGGCATAACAATGTCGGGTTTCGTCTCTAAAAACTAGTATCAGTTGAAAGTAGACACCCTTACTTATATTATCTCTTCTTTCGGGAAAATATGAATAAATAAAGTATAAAAGACATACAAGCAGAAGTTTCATCGAAAATGTCTTTTAATTAACAAAAAGAGTGGAAATTTTTACTAATGAACAAAATATCGTATAATGGCGAGTAAGAGGCATTTTTCGAGATCGTTTTTGAAAAACCTATTTTAAAAACTAGCAACGATAAACCGAGCTCGATTAAATCTAGATATTGAAATTAGATTCTTTTGCGACTGAGAGAGTGAATAACATACTGAGTGGCATTCAACACTCTTCACTGTTCCCAGATCAATCACATGACAAACCTAATTTGGAATTTCACACATATCTCCCTCTTTACCTAGTAAAACTGTAGTTGGCAATACCGATATCAGCCCGCCTGACCTAAAAATGCCCTTCATAAAGGAGAAAATAGAGCAAAAGTAATTCCCCTCCTAAGATTACTCGCCGAACAAAGATCTACGGTCTGCAAAGGAAAAACCAGATTAACAATATATTGTCACTACAATGGATTTATATGCCAGTAAATTATTCTCATATTTTAGCTCAGGTAATGTGAAAGATCAAACCAAACTTACCAGCACTTGTCGGAATCGTTGTGGTTGCATTCGACGTTGCATTTGTTAATGCTATGAATAAGAATTAAATCCTGTGATGAGTACTTATCAAGAATTTCCGTACCTGAAATAGCAAAACTTGCGCTGTTTAGCTATCTTATTTTAGCACTGGAATAGTCTATAGCAAATAAAGGAGACAAATGACTCAAGCGTGTCTAAGCATAAAAATAAAGAATGTATAGTTATGTTTATTAAACATATACATAGCATGAAAACTTTGATTTTTCGAGAACATACTATCATTATACAAAAGCGGACCAGGTTGACATGATAACCCAGTATCTACAGCAGCTATTGAATCATCATGTCGTCGAGTTCAAAGTCTGCCTAGTTTTCCAGCCCCTCGTCCGTGTAGTGTTGTCAAACTTTGCAGATTGTTTAAAAGAATGTGTGATAAAACAGTTATTAAATTTGGTTTTCGCATGATATATTGAATTATTAAACTTCGTGTCTGTGCATGTGTTATCTGCCTTAGCCTTCGGCTTCGGCTTCGGCTTCGGCTGCGGCTGCTAACTCAGAACTCTCCACTGATTATTCATGTTATTATACATTGTAGTCACCATCTGTCTTCTCATTGGCTAAACGCCCACAGTTAATTCTGGGAAACAGCGCAACCTACAGATTATTCACTAATCTGTACCTAGGTTGCGCGCGCAATGCATGATTTCCGGTTGAGCCATAGGCCATTGCAGAAACTTGAGAGGACTGGGACGAGTTTCTTATATTGATTACATTGAAAATCTAAACACTTCAACTGAAATGTTACTAAATGAAAACCTACCCAGCCAAGTTTGAGAGTTTTCAGCGGAAAAGTGTCTAAATTGGAACCTTGCAAAAGTTGCAAAAATTCCATACAAACCCTTATAATATTAAGCCCTGTCTACCCAATGCATACAAACTCTCTATTTTAGGTGATATTTGAAAAGCTGTCATTTTGCCATTTTCCTCCACTAAATAATTATATTCTTGCTTAAGACTCTCAAATTTAGTTGATCTTTCATTTGAATATCTTAGTTTTTCAAACAAACGGAAAACAGCCTCACTCTTTCCCAGTCCTCTTACGTTTCTGCAATGGCCAATGTCAAGTTCACGGACAGCGAAGTAAGTACGGCTTTTCGATTAGCTTCATCGACCCAGCGAGAAATTGACAAAATTACTTGAAGATAAAGATTCGGAAAATACTAAAAGAAAGTATAGTATAGTCTCGGTTAGTGTTATCAGCCTCAGCCTTCGGCCTTGATTCAGTTCCGGATATCACAAAAACCTCATCCAATAATTTTTTAATATCATACTTTATTCTTCTTTATTTATTCACCTATTTCTTTTTCTTAGCAAGGAATGCCAATAAGTTATTACGATATTTTAAAAACCTAAGGAACATGATCTTCAATTTTTCAAGACAAAATAAAAATTCTGAATCCATCTTTAACAGTGAGGAAAACGGAAAAAAATTGAAAAGTGTTTGTTTACTATCTGCTGGAAGATTTATGCCGTTTTATGTTTGAGGTCTACAATCCACCCAAATAATGATGATATCTAATGAATATTAGCTAACCAGGTTAGCTGTATTTGCATGCAGCTAGATCATTCCCTTACAGAGTTACTATGTCAGAAATTTACCAGGAGAACTTACACAGATTAGAACTTAAAGTATAACAAAATAACTGCAGCAGGAAATGTTTCAGCCTGCATTTGCTCAAGGATGGAACATCAGCTTTAATGACAAACAATGAGTAGCCTTAAACAATTTGAATGTTGTCCACTAAATTAGTTTTTAAAGAGATGACAAGAAGCTTAACTGATGAATATCGTAACTTTCCAGATGTCTTTTCCTACCTGAAGTTTTTCTAGAGACATTAGATTTCAATCGAGTTGCACTAACCAAATAGGGCTAAGAAATAATCACCAAGTTAAATTGTGCATATGCGTACAGCAACAGTAATAATTTCAAGTTTCATTTCAAGAAGCTTCAGTACAAGAGACTTACCAAACAGACTTGTACAAGTTGTGAAGACGAAAAAAGAACCGACGATCCACATTTTGGTTTAGTCTAGTAAACGAACATTCGCTTAAACATACACGGAAAAAAATATCCACCAGCTCTTTCTTATGGATTCGCCTGATCTATATTTAGGTAGCTAACCAGTCACGCTATTATTATTAACCTTATCTCCGCAATTAGGCCGCGGCAGGAACCGAGTTGTTCAAAACGGAAAATTATTTTGAATTGACGTAATCGTATTCATAACTACTCGACAAAGTTTGTTTTTCCGTATTTTCGTTGCTTTGACCATTAATTCATTGACCTGGTTGTTAAGGGGTTGGTTAAACCTTACACAGTTGGCGCCTGAAACGAAGCCAAAAGCATAATTTAGATCTTGCTGGACGCACATTTCCATAAAACGATGACGAGAAAGCTTAATAAGCGCCCATGAGTGGGACAATGATTTTACTCATTTGCTAGAACTGTTTCTATAGCGATCTTTAAATAAAGGAAGTAAACACTTCACGGTATTAATAACAAGTGTTTGGATGGTAAAACGGCGTTGAAATGTGATAATTACCAGTCCATATGGAAAAGGGAAAGAATCTGAATCTTTTCATCGAGAAAAGAGCACCTTGCTAGCCTCTTCCAAGTTTAAGAGGTTGTTCAAAATTTTATATTTATCATTGATTCATTAACTCTCATTCAGTTTACAAATCTGTTTTCCACCTTCAAAACGGCTTTTCCCGTTTACCCCCAGAACCATCCACGAGAGGCCGCCTAAAATCAATTTGGTTGCACTCAAGCCAATATATGTGTTGATGGAAAACCTAACTTACAATATTATTAATAAAAAAACTTGAACTTGAACTTGAACTTGTGGAAACAAACAAGTGGAAAGAATTACAAAGCTCTGTCAACTGATCCACATATCCGAGATTTTTTTTCCTAATTTCAACTTAAACACAGTCTTCATTCATGAAGGAGTTTTCACCAATTTGGTTGGCCAAAATAGCAAATCCGATGTAAGGACTTTTTTTGAAGCTATCCTTTCGGGCAAACATCACGCTAGATGGTTGTCATTATCTACAAACTTGTTTGTGCAAATGAGCGAACCACTGTGAACAGCTGTTCAAAACATCGCTCTAAGAATTTCATAATTTACTTGACATTTTGACGACCCGAAATTTTAACCACAACAACCAGAAATCGCTCATTTTCCCAGTCTATCTTAATTTTCTAAAGATATTCTAGGTTCATTAATTAGACACATAGACTCAATTGAACATTTTCACACGGTATTATTTTAAATTATACACCGCTCGTATGCGCGTCCCATCTCATAATTCCTATATTGACCCACTGTGGTATAAGTTCATTCACATATTTCGACGATGACGCATGTAATTAGGTTTTATAGCTTCCAAGTTAATGGCTATATTGATGGTTCCAGTTTAAATTTTGGGGTACACGAGCTTACACAACCCTTGGTTTCCCATCGGTTTACTAAGTAAGAGGTGAAAAGTTCCTTGATAATTGATAATTTTACTAAAACGACTTAGCACTACAATAGCAGAAGCAGCTTCACAAAACTGAGTTAATTACTATGAAGCAAATTATGTCGGTTGCGCTGCTTTGTTTTCTCCGTTTCTACTCTTAACTGTTAACTATTTTTTGGCAGAAAAGTCACCTCTACAATGATTATCTGCTACTTTTTTCCACTATCTGCAACTTTTTTCCATTGACGGACAGAAGTTTGAGCTGAACAAATAGAGGACGGTAATTTTGCGACAAAACGTGATAATGCGAAAACCAGAATCAATGAATTCCTACCAGTTTTTATTCCCTTCAACAGTTTTTTAATTAGGGACTTTCAGGGAAAAAACGGAACAAAGCGCGCTTTTTGTGAGGTTTTACGCTGAGCCTCAGGTCACTAGCATAGTTGACTGAGACGACCCTTCGAAGGTTTTGTTAACGGAAAGAATCCCTTGTCCATCATGTGAACGTTACTTATAAAGTCGACCCTTCGAAATAAAATGTTGAAGCAACATTAGCTTATTCAGCCTTTAAACTGGGTACAAAGAACTAAAAATGATTTATAGTGTTGAAGGTCTTCAACGTAACGGGTAAACTTAATCTCTTATCGACCTTCTCTTCAGAAGGACACCAATGATAATAACACTAGTATTGATATTCTTGTTTTTAGAGGATATTTCTTAAAATGATTATCATATCTTTCAATATGCCCACCTGTATCGAGCTTATGGTGAGCTCATGTACGTTCAAGGTTATTCAGTTCTTAAGGTGAACCAAACGTGATGCGCATGTAATTAAGAAACAGTTTAACTCTGCATGAATCAACGTAATGACAAGTTGTTTTGCGGAAACCAAAAAAACGGCTCTCCCAAAAAACTTATGCTAAGTATGCATGGCCGTACGTTAATAAAGCAATATACGGCACTTTCTATCGGTTTCCTGATGTGATAACCCAAATGGGATGCTAGGAGAACGCGAGAAAAGTTTGTAAATTACGAATCAGGGGCAAGTGATTCGCCTTAAATCCCAAGTGGACATTACCCCTGCTAGTAAACCAGGAAGAATGCGATACAACCGGAGCGCGAGCAATGTTTTAGACAACAATGGCTCGGACAAAGCTTTCTTTTCATTTCAAATACAGTTTCATTTGAATTGCTAAACGAGCCACATTTTACAGAATTCACATTTTGTCTTGCAACTGCTTTCAAACTTCTACAGGGAGATTTCGTCAAAAGTATCAAATAAGCAAAGAACCCGGTTGATTCACAACTTCGTCATTTCCAAAAGTTGTAGTTAATTTTAGCACATGCAATGCTAACCAAAGTTCATTCTGAAGTGTAAATATTCTGGTATATTTTGTGGAAAAGATACCAAATTTTACAGAGCGAACTTTTAAAAATTTCATTGGTTCGAAAGCAAAAAACGTCAACGTTAGCCTTGCGAGAGGCAAATTCTGTCTGATTTATGAACGATTGGTATCACGATGTTAATTGCTTTCCTAAACTGCCTTTAATGCATATTTTTTATGCGTTCTTTTGCACTCTTCCTTCTCTAGTTCGCGTTAAATCGACTGGCATGTTTGGGCAAGCTACAAAAGCATTGAATCCGGCAACGGCTTCAGTCACGTCCCAGTGAATTGACTCTATGGAAACTGATTACATTAAGCAAATGTACCCCTTGAGGCAAAAATTCATCGACATGTATATTAAGCAAGGTATGAAAGCCATTTACGACAGAATTGTTGTGTCTGCACGCAAAGAAATCACTCGTGGATTAAAACGGCCGACCTAAAGAAACTTTAATGTCACTCGAAATTATAAAATCACAAAAAAACTTGTCCAATATTCAAAACAGGAACGCATGCTGCATATACCTTTTACATCCGGTCTAGGAATATACGTAAATTCATGTGGAAACCTACTTCATTAACACCTAACTGATTCAATTCTAACAAGAATTAGTTTCAAGAGAGGCCCTGGACATGCAAAATTTGATGCTTGCGAGGCCCACTACGTTTTGGACATCATTGAAGAAGTTTGAAAAACAGAAAACATTTGGAAATTTTTCTGACCACATTTGGAACAATTACCCGGAATGATTACTTAAAGACACATAGACAATGCCAAAATAACATAGACCTGCCGTCGTCATGCTCCATGACGATGACAGTTCTATGTTTATGAAACCAACCTTTCGCATAATTTAACTGAATTTTTAACTGACTCAACTGATCCAAATTTTTTCATTAAAACACTCTCAAGCATTAGAACTGTGTGAATCATTCTCTCAAGTTGCAAGTGAGTGGTATGTGGAAATGAATAGTTCATTGCTACTCATTGTAAACCTCCCGATCGTCTATCACGAAACTCAAGCTAATGAGAATTCTCAACCGACTAGCTAATATTACAAGTTCCCTTTGATGTAAAGATCTTAAAGTTAGATCTTTGCCCCAGGGGTTTTAACAATTGAATTTTCATGTCTACAGAGCGCTGTAAGCGAAACCACAACGTGGAGGCAATTCGAAAATTCAAGAAAAACCAGTGGCTTCGGTGAAATACAAACAAAAACTTTGCACGTCCATTGCACTTTGAAGTAAATTTCCTGACGACACAATTGGGTCTCAATTACGACAAGAAGTTTTCTAATGTAGCATTTTTTAACTCGAGCTAACAATCGACGACAAGTTCTCTCCCTCTTTCTAAACTACACTCTCTGAGCAGTCAATGATGAGAAATTAGGGCGAAAAATTTTTTATCATATAATAGCAATAGTTGTTTTTGAGGTTTAAAGGACAAAAACATATTTTTTCCTGGTATTTTGCTAACGTCGTGAAGTGGACGCTGGAAACACTTGCATTTATTCGGTATTGATAGATTGCGGTGTAAAATACCTATGCTAGATTGCTCTAACTTGCTCTAAATGTCCTAAATTTTCAAAAATATCCTGTAGCCCTCTTTTCGTAATTAGTTGCGTGTCTAGAGAGTCTAGAATACTACGTGAGTGCGAGACACTTGAAACCACCAATCGTTGCGACATCGTTGCTATGTAAACGAGAAGTATCCGCGTTGCTGAAACAGATTTAAGTTCCAGTCGCTGCTGAATCATATTTATTCAGTTTCCTTGTTGTGAGCCGTGCTAGTGCTTTCTTTTCCAATAAAGGAAGATGCGGTTCGCATAGATTTGACTTATTTTGTATTGTTCATTTGTACAAACTCCTTAGTCTCCAAACCAAAACCAGAGCTGCAGAAGGGAAATACGAATAATTTTTTCGTCTTGTCATACTACTTTAAAACGAAGCTTTGATCAGTATTTCAGTCTTTATTCAAGTTATCCCTAAAGGTTGATAGTTTCGAAAGAAACTGTTTGGGGCTGCGTCGGTGGGAGTAACGAAATAATTTGGATATATCAACAAAGTTGAAGTGGTAAGTTGGCCACCGTAACGATTACAAAAGCTGACGTTTCGAGCGTTAGCCCTTCGTCGGAGCGAAGGGCTAACGCTCGAAACGTCAGCTTTTGTAATCGTTACGGTGGCCAATTTACCACTTCAACTTTGTTGATATATCCAAATTATTTTATTTATCCCTGATATCTAGAATTCTAATTTTATCAATCTTTTAAATCTGTTTTGACCGTTTAACCTACAAAGTTCTTAAAGTCCTCTTTCGATGTAAGGATATTTTTCTTTTCACTAAATCTTCTCTGGAAAGCAATTAATGTAAACGCTTCCCTGTCACATGCGGATTCGCCAGTTACAATGCCATTCATCAAGATTGAGTCATAAATAGTTGACTGAGCGTGCAAATGAATCTCCGTGAAAATCTGTGGCGAAGCAGCCGATATACGAAAAGCAGCTGAGCACAGGTGGCCCAAGCTCTCTTTGAGAACCACACAAGGAACACAATTTGCATATTTATAAGAATTTGAGATACAATGAAATATATGAAGTTCATATATTTCATTGTTCATATATTTCATTGTTCATATATTTCATTGTTCATATATTTCATCGTGCATCATATGTATTTATAAGGATTTGTATGGGATTTTCTACAAGATCTCCATAGAGATATTTAAAAGTGAAAATATTAAATAAAAATGGCTTACCTTGTTCCATACGTGTGTTGTTTGCTCCTGGTGTCATTATTTTACCACTTGTCTTCTCTTTATGTGGTAGAAAACCATGATTCGAAAAAATGCCTTAAATCAAGTGAAATCGGTAAAGTAACGACACCAGGAGCAAACAACACAAGTATAGAACAAGGTAAGCCATTTTTATTTAATATTTTCACTTTTAACTATCTTTGTGGATATCTTGTAGAAAATCCCATACAACTCCTTATAAACATGCAAATTGTGTTCCTCAGTGTGGTTCTCAAAGAGAGCTTGGGCGGCCTGTGGACAACAAGTCGGGGATCCAGCGTCTGGGGTTGGGCGTTGACTGTTTGGCCATTTAACTCCCAAACGGATCTCATTTAAAATTCTGCTTTGCGTCTGCCACACAATTTTTATCATGTAAGATCAGAGAATTTGGTATTGGATCAACTTTTAATCCCCTAATTGATATTTTTCTCTATTCTTATCTAGTGATATTGCAAGGAGAAATTCTGTCTTCGCTCGTGGAAGTTAAGGGCTTAAAACACACTTTTATGTTAAAACAATACAGCCATAAATCATAACAGCGCATTGTATTTAGGAATAAGTACACATATGAAAAGGTAAATAAATGATAAGGTTACCACTAATCAACAACGAATTTATAGCGTCGCCGTTAAAGCACGTTCAACAAGAACTATCATGGCAGCTGCTATTCATAATATGCTATGCATGATAAGCTCTGCCCTCTTACATTTGACTCTGTAAAAATAATTTTACAAGAACCATAACGAAAAACACAAGCTTAACACTTCTAAGCAAAATACATCAAAGCGTAGATTATTTACCTGAAGAAACGTTGTGCCGAAAACCGAAAACCGAAAATTGGAAATCACAAATCCTTGACGTTCATTCATAGCCCCTCAATTCAGCAGAAGAAAGATTCGCCGACTTTAACAGGACTGACGATATCCAAGGTAATAGGATCGAAATTATGTGTTCGTTGAATCCATAGAAAACTGGAAAAGACGTCGACTTTTCTTGTAGGTCGCCGATGCTCTTTCCACGTGCAACACTGAGCGCAAATATGAAAATTGATTTAAAAAATAATTTGTAATTCAAATGAGTTCTCCGACTCCTTGAAAATAAGTTTGGGCCAGTTTCGTTCAATTAAAAAGGCTTTAAGGCTGATTTTAGACATTAGGAAATTCAATTGAGAGGTGCAAACATTGTTTTTATTTAAGAAATATAAATTCGAGTATAGATGAAATTGAACTTAGAAACATTTCACTTGAGCAGTATTTCAGTTCATCCATTTACTAAGTGCGGTGGTCATATTCTTCATTGCGTACGCTGAAGCTCGCGAGACGTTACGATGGTATGATGGGATACTGAACAAAGGCTCAGCCATAACCAGTTGCAACAAGTGCAAATAACCAAATGCTACAAATCCAAATTTGAATTAAAATGCATGAACTATACCCATTCTGTTCTCCGTCAGTTATATTTCCACAACTGGCAGTAGCGTCGCGATGTGATTGGCCAGTTTAGCTGTCGTCGGTAAGAGTAGAAGTGAAGTGAAACTTTATTTAAGGAGGAAACCACATTACCCTTCGGTGGTTTTCATGAGGGACCTCCATATAAAAATAAGTTAATTAATTACAACAATAATTGTAAAATATTCGAAGTACAAAAACTAAATACATTAAAAGAATAGAATTAAGATAGATGAAATAAATTAATGAAAACTGAATATAATATTAATGGACAAAAAGAAGAGAAGGTCATATATTATTAAAATATTGTTTCTTAAAAATCCTATAATTCACCGATGTCTTCAATGATCCATTTAAGAGTTCCATTCATTAAAAAACATGTAAGCCGACTTAGATTTCCCCCAGTTAGTTTTTATTCGAACCTTAGAAACATAGATTTATTTCTTGAATGATGGGCGTGAATTTCCTCATGCTTAATATTATCATAATTAAAATCATTATTTTTTGTAATATAATTAAAAATAAAAGATAATCTATGAAATTTTCTCCTAAGAGCACAGACCACGCTAAACCACTGTCAATTTGATGAGTCGCAAGGGATCAAATTTTGAAGAAAAATTGGAAAGAAGGACGAGAACATTCAAAGGCCAACCAAAGATTAATAAAAAACAACGAGGAATGAACGCCAAAGGACTTGAAAGAAACCTAATTTCTCCAATGAGAGACGTGGACGATAACAAAAGCAATGTTATAAGGAGAAAGGAGTCTTACTTTCTTTTTTAACCTCATTGATACAGGAACTGTTTAGGTAATGCACTATCCCTCTCTTTTAAAACCCAACAGCTCAGTGTGTCAAGTCATTGTACTAGATTGCTGTGTTGTATCCTATCGTGTTAGTGCAAGGATTATATACCTTTTTGTACGTTTCTATACTCGTGTGCATTATATCGTGTATGTAAAAGCCTTGCGAAGACGTGAACAAGGCTTGACTAATTTACTTTCGGAAAAAATAATTCTGAACATTGCCAAATTACCAGCGGAAACTATTGTCACAATAATAAAAGGCAGCAACCATCGCTCGGCACAAAATTTTCAATTTGGTTATTTATTCCCAGAAGCATCCGAAAGGTATCCACTCGTTCCGTATTCACGGTCGTTTCGGACCCAGTCCATTCGTACCCAAGTTCAGACGATTCGTACCCAGTTTGAATCGCTTCGTACCCGAACAACTGGATGAT